CGACAATGACGAGCCACGGGCCATTTTTGAAGTCACACGGCGGATTACTTTTAATGGGCCATACATGCTCCATCAGGATGGCACCTATCGAGATGCTGGTGGCCGCACCGAGGTTGGCGAAGCCGGCTAGGAGCGCATACACCGTGCTTTCGGAGCCTCGTGGGCAAAGACGCGACAGCAGTACTCCCGGTGGCATCCATGCAAGCATGTAACACACTTGTCCAATGATGGCGTCACCACAAACGTACATGATGTGATCGGGAATGCCGATCTTGATATTCCAACGCTTGAGCATGATAAGGTCGAAGACGGAGGCAGACATCCATAGAAGTGTTGTTACAATTATGCATAGACGGTATTTCCACTTCGAGAAGATATAATTGAAGGCCGTAATACCGACTAAACCAGTCAGGTTGCCGATGATACCCACGGCAATAGTATTATAGAAAGTATTTGAGAAGTGCGGCCCGTCAGGAAGGCAATCTTCTTTAGCGAGGTAGAAACTGTCCAGGAGACCTGGTAACTGTATGTAGAGCACGGTATTAAGATAAATCATGACGTTAGCCTTAGCAATAATCAGTGGCAGTCCCCAGAAGGACATCACAGAGCACACCAGCGACACCACTACGCAGATAATAAGCAACCCTAGCTTACCTACGAAGAGGTTGCCGAAAGCCATGATTATGGCCGCGGCTGTCATGATAATGCTGAGTACAACAATCCTCTTGTTCCGCATGACGACCTCCTTGTTGATCTCGATAAGTCCACAGCAACCGTTGATCGGTTGCGGCAACAGAAGCTCTGGGCTCACTTCCAGCTGTAGAGCCTTTCCCTGATCCACATCGAGACTGTCTTCCTTTCCCTCCTTCCAGCATAGGGCTTTCCCCTTCTCGATCTCCAGGAGTAGCTTCTTGTGCATATTACCTGCATCCTCAATGCGCTCCTCGCAATTCGTCTTCTCGCCGTACAGGTTGAAGAGGTAGATCAAAGATGCAATGAACTGCAGCCCAGCGGCGATGAACACCCCAACTTGCGGCATCTTAAGATCAGATAACGGGCCCTGGAGGATAGAAGCCAGCAAACTCCCTATGGTAATGATCCACCAGACCCAGCTCACCAGTGCCGGACCAGCCTCTGGAATCTTACGCATAAGACGACTGTAATAGCCTTCAGAAAGAATGTCCACAGTGGCAATACCATACTTACTCAAAGCGGCAAAAGCAGTAGCAAAATCAGCGGACGACGGCTTGGATGGTAACAGGGCGTAGAGCAACGCGAAGACACTACCCATTACGCACGATGCAAACATGTACCAGCGTTTGGTGTAACCGAGGAAGGCAAATGTATCGCATAGCATGGCAGTAGAGGCCTTCATGGCCCAAGCAAGTTTCATAACAGCAGAGAGCCGCTGGTAGCGGCCTGCATCTATACCAAAACGTGTTCGAAACATAGGGTAGAAGGAGAAAGTAAAAATACTAGAAGCGATACCCTTGCAGAGTAGGTAGGATAAGGCGAGGCTGATGGTGCACGCGGGGCCGTATGCCTCACAGGTCTCGCCGAAGATGGGAATGCGGCGTAGTACCGGTGCGCGGTCGAAGAGGCGCTTAGCGCCGGGGTGGAGGGGAATGCCGGCGTCGTCCCCAGCGGAGTTGAAGGCGGGGGCGGGCTGCCGATCCCCTTCCTCGGCGCCGTACGGGTGAGGGGTGCCCGCGTTCCTTGCGATTGGGTCCATCGTGAAGTGATTGATTGTCTCTGGGGTTCACCTCAAATGCAAAAGACCTTTTGACCTGATGGCAACAGTTGCTTGTTGGCTTTCTTTCAGATGGCTTTGTGGCTTCTCACGTGCGTCAACCTATTCGGTGTATCGGTGTATCGGTATGTCTATTGAGAGGCTTAGCTAGAGACAGTGTGGGGAGAGATAAGGGAGAGGGGAGACTAGATTAGCGGTGAACAGATGAAAACAGAACAGCGGTACCCTTATCATTCTCGCAACGGCGCTTGAAAAAAAAACAGATTAACCGTCATGAGCCCCAGAAGGGGTGCGCTACAGTGGGAAAGAATCTGGAAAGGAATTGTTAGTGCGCCAGCGGATTTTTACGAAGAAATGGTAAAAACAAAAAGATAAAATAAGATAAAAACACGCACATACCGTTTTTTGAAAATAATATCACTAGATTTATTTCACAAAAAGTAGGATTTAGTTTCTTCAGTTAGTAGTACCTCGCAACTATATTAGAACCAAAGAAAAATCAGCCTGCAGCCCAGCGAAACGCTCGGCGTGTGATTGCCAGGTGGAGAGTAGCTGCACGCTACAACAGAACGCAGGGAGCGCATAGAAAAAAGTGCCATTAAAACATACTACTCAGAGTATGGATCCAATTTAAAATAACTACAACACTGAATCCAAAATAAAGAGGAAAATTTAAAATGTTTATTTATACTGAAAAATCAATTAATTGTATATCGATATACAGATGCCAAAAAACAAAAAGATAAAATAAGATAAAAACACGCACATACCGTTTTTTGAAAATAATATCACTAGATTTATTTCACAAAAAGTAGGATTTAGTTTCTCTGGTTAGTAGCACCTCGCGACTATATTAGAACCAAAGAAAAATCAGCCTGCAGCCCAGCGAAGTGCTCGGCGTGTGATTTCCAGATGGAGGATGGCTGCACGCTACAACAGAACGCAGGGAGCGCATAGAAAAAAGTGCCATTAAAACATACTACTCAGAGTATGGATCCAATTTAAAATAACTACAACACTGAATCCAAAATAAAGAGGAAAATTTAAAATGTTTATTTATACTGAAAAATCAATTAATTGTGTATCGATATACAGATGCTAAAATAAAATAAAAAACAAATTCTAAATATCATATAAGCACTTATGTGCATCTAAGCCCATTGCAAGTCTCAGTATCCATGTGTACACAGGTCAAGTAGTCAGCTCAGTTCATATCTTCAAGGTATCGATAGACAAGATGTTTGTGGAGGTATTCTGGGTTCAGCTTCTCACCCGTCGCCCTCTCTACAAGTTCATCGGTCGTGTAGAGGCTGCCATGGTCCCAAATCTTTTCTTTTTGCTTCGCCAAGATGCACTCCAGGTCGCCTGTCTGAAGGCATTTAAGCAGTTTCTCCTTGCCGAGTTCCGTACGAATCGTTGCCATGAGCTGTGCTGCGAGCAACACCCCAATCAAGTACGTCGTGAAGGAGCCAATGCCGCCTCCCGACCAGTGACCGTCCTGGAGGCAGCCCAGGTCGTCTCGGCCGGTCGTCTCGATCCCCAAATATTCCTTCATCTTTGCATTCCACACAGTGGGCACCTCCTCGGGCTGCAGTGTCCCATCCACTAGGTCACGTTCGATCTCATAGCGCAGGATGACGTGCAACGGGTAACAGACCTCATTCGCGCCAGTACGGATGAAGTTCGGCTTCACCTCACGAACAACACGGATGAGGTTCCCCATGTTAAAGGCCGGCTGAGGGCCGAGATGGGCCTCGAGTTTGGACTGAAGGAACTCGAAAAAGGGTTTTGCGCGTGAGATCTGGTACTCGGCGAAGAGGGACTGGCTTTCGTGCACACCACCAGAGCGGGCTGTGCAGACGGGTTGCGTAATCAGTTGACGCGGCCCCATGTTCTGCTCGTATTTGCCGTGCCCCACCTCGTGAATGACAGCGTAGATGCACTTCAAAGGATCATCTTCGGAGTAAAACGTCGTGATACGGCAGTCCTCCTTAGTCATGCCGGCGAAGGGGTGCGGACTACTATCCAGCCGCCCTGAATCAAAGTCGAACTTCCAGGTACGCATCAAATCCTTGCCGAGTGCCGTTTGCTTGTCCAGGGGAAAAGGTCCTTTGAACGGAATGATGGGGTCTTTTACTGATTCCTGTTTCTTTACAACATCCCGTAGCAGTTGTGGTAACCATGATTTAACTTGCCCAATAATCTCGTCCAGGCGAGCAATCGTTGCCCCTGGCTCATAAATATTTATAAGGGCTTCATATGGGGTCTGTGAAGAATCCGCCGCCAGACATGCCCCTTCTTCGCGGGCAACCAAAACGAGTTCCTTCAATACGGGTAAAAAATCGGAGAATTTATTATCAGACCGGCTTTTTCTCCATACCTCATGGGCCATAGTGGTAAGTTTCGCTTTACGAGCTAAGAAATCTTCCGATAGTAAGCTCATGCGCTTCCATAAAAGAGTCATTTCGCGAAGATTGCTTTTTTGAACGGCAGAAAGTTTGTCTTGTGCT